ATATTTTATATTATATACATAAAAATATATATATATAATATGTATATATAAAATATATACATATTTATAGAATATATATATATATGTGTATATATATATATATATATATATATATATATATATATATATATATATATATATATATATATATATATATATATATATATATATATATATATATTATATATATATATATATATATATATATATATATATATATATATATATATATATAAATATATATATTATATATAATTGTTTTATTTTAGATTGTATGACATTTCAAGTGCTGCTAAACGAGGTAAGATAAGATGATTGCAGATATTTTTTCATTGACTATTTTTTACTGTTTTATTATTAAAGAGTGTTTGAGAAAATTAAGTGATTCAAAAGAAGTTAAATATTCTTCTTATACTTTTTAATCAGTATTATACGTATTATATATATATATATACGTATTTCCATAATATGAGATTTCCATATATTTTTTATAGTTTACTGTAATAAAAATTAATTTAAATTACCACTTAAATTTCATGGGTTATTAAACCCTAACTCTGATTTCCCAGATTTTAATTAATAGACTTGATGATTATTTTCTTGATAAATATCCATCACTATTAGGCATCTTGACTTTTTGTAAAACATCACTGTAAGGCATCCTAACTTTTTGAAAAACATTACTGTCTGACATCTTGACTTTTTGAAAAACACCACTGTCGACATCTTGGCTTTTTGAAAACATCACTGTCAGACATCTTAAATTTTTGTTTAAATTTTCATCAACTCATATCTATATAACTTGAGTTGTTTTTTGCTTAGATTTATCCATAGCTTGGTATCTAAACAACACTTCTATAAATACTTTCTTGAAATCTTCTTTCAATAATTTAATAGATTTTTTTCATCTGCTAAAATTATTATATTAGTTCTGAAATTAAGATGTTTTTAGATCATGAAGATCTAGTTCTACAGCTGAATAATAAATTGAATGTTCAAGAGATTCTTTTTGGATGGTTTTAACTCATAAATTTTTGTATCTTCATTGAAATCTCTTACTTCTGAGTTCTTTTTTTAAGTAATAATAATAATCTAAACATAAATGTTTGTTTTCTCTCTCTCTCTCTCTCTCTCTCTCTCTCTATATATATATATATATATATATATATATATATATATATATATATATATATATATATACATATACTAGCAGAGGTACCTGCGTCGCTAGGCACTGGCAAAACAAATCAAATTTGCTGGTGTACAAAGAAAACCCACCCTCCAAAAATAAACTTGACTAAAAAACTCTCAATCCTGGGTACTATAAAAAAACCGCTGCAGAGCCTCTTGGTACACAACACTAAAAGTTCTTCCATCAGGGGATTTTATATATACCATACCATGCCCCTGTACCAAGTTAACCACCACAAAATTAAAGAACCAAAAATGAATTAGTTACCACTAAAAAACAATATTTCCCCACCCGTTCCCGGCAGCAACATGCAAAGAGCAAACCGACCCCCAGAACTGCAACCCTGCAAGTGATGTGTTCACCTCAGCAAATCCGGTAAAAACTGAGCTATGTGTGATCCACCTACATTCCATCGAAGGCTCCAGACGGAGCTAAAGAGCACCACTGAACACTCTGGAAAGCCCCTAAATGCTCTGAAAGGTGATGGAACAGCCAGATTGTGCACTATGGAACATTCTGGAAAACTCAGGACCACTCCGGAAAATTCTGGCCCATTCCTGAAAAACGTGGAACATTTCAGAAAACCTGACAAAAATCACATCATAGGAAACGCTCAACCATTGGGGATGGCATGACCGATGTTCCCAGACCGTTCCGGGATGTTCCCAGATAGTTCCAGGATGTTCCCAGACCGTTCCGATTTCCAGCGACCCCCGAGGTTACTCCCAAGTTCATCTGCACTCCCACCCCCGGGGGCGAGGAACAACTCTGCACTTCATAAGGAACACTCTATTTGGCCCCCCCCAACCCAGAAATGACAATTTAAAAGCCCCCGTGACCCCGGGCGGCCTTCAGCGATCTTCGAGGCCGACCCAACACAGCCCACATCACTCTCTGAGCCACAGAGACCATCCACGTTAAACCTCAAATCTCCAGGACCAACGGTCCGTCTGCCAACCGGGAACAAACAATCAAGCAATCAATCAGAATTGACAAATATATATAAGATCAAAAAATAATATTTCTTTACCTGTTCTTTGTAGTAATATGTAAAGAGCAATTTGACTTCCTAAATTAACTTTCAGAATTTTAACTTTGTAAATGATGTGTTCATCTCAGTAACTTGGTAAAAACTTTTATTTTGTTTATGTGTTATGTGTGATTTCTGGTGACCCATTTAATATTCCTATGGAAGGTTCTAGATGGAGCTAAAGAGCACCATGGAACATTCCGGAAAGTTTTTGAATGTTCTGGAAGGTGATGGAACAGCCATATTGTACACTATGGAACATTTCGCAAAATTCTAGATCATTCTGGAAAAATGTGAAGCATTACAGAAAATTCTGGAAAATGACAAAATAGGTAACAGCAACTGGCGAAAATCACATCATAAGAAATGCTCAACCCGTCTCCCAGACAGGGGACGGGTTGAGCATTTGAAAGCTCCCGCAAAAAATGACTATTTGAAAGCCCCCGCGACCCCAGGCGGTCTCCAGTGACCTACAAGGTTAACTTAGATTACCTATGTCACTCCCTGGGTCATGGGGATCATCCAATCCAAATTTCAAGTTTCTAGGACCAACGGTCTGACTGTTAACTGGGAACAAACAATTAAGCAATCAATCAGAATTGACAAATATATAAAGTTTTTTTATTGTTTTGAATGAATGTTGATGATTTAACATATTTCAATTGATTAAAAACAATTTTTAATGAGTTCAAAAATTTGCGGACAAAACGTTTATTTAAAAATCTAGAATTTTTCAATGATATTTGGTCAAAATTTATAAGAAATGCTAAATAACATTATTTTGAAAAATTATCTTTACAATCAAAAATGGCTTTGCATCTATAAAGCATAGAGTCAACTAACTTTATGCAAACATCTATAGGAAGTGCATGATTTCTTTGATTTTTCTGAATAAATTAGCATGATTTGTATATTAATGTCTAATATTTGATTGTCATATAAATAATCAATGGCATCTATTCTCAAATAACTCAATTGATTGGAAAATCAACATTGAAAAACAAATTTTACTCTTTTTAGAAATTCATGAACCCATTTACCTGTTCTTGAACTGATTTACCTGTGTGTTTGAGATTGTTTTCCTTATGTAAAGTATAAAATGACCTTATCCTCAGGTCATTTTATCCTTTGCATAAGGTTACGCAATGCTCTTACATATATCTTTGTATATTTCTTGATTAATAGTTCCAGTATATCTATAGAGCGGATTAATATTATCCTGACTAAAACATCTCAAAAGTATTTTACTTTAAAGCATTACATTACCTCCTGCATGTATTGCAGTAAGTAGTTGAGATTTAGGATCATATTTTTAACCTGCTAGACTTCAAACAAATATGATTCCATCTGATCAGAATTGCGTAAACTTGTTTTCATTACTAAAAAGAATATTTGACAATTTAGACTACTCCATTTTAGATACTGTGATGTTAATTCTTCATGGGTGTTTCAGTTTTTTAAAGAAAACAATGACTTTTTGGATGATAGTCTTCCAAACACACTTGCATGACATAAATAATGTTTTGTAATAAAAAAACTATAATTTATTCCATAAAAACATTTTATTTGTTCATTTAAATCAATAGCTGTCAAATAGGATTTTTCGTTGCTTGGTACAACAAACTTGTATTATATCCTGTCAAAATGTTGTTTTGCATAGTCTTCCTGGTTGCTTTTGAATCTTTGTGGATCCAAAAGTTCATATCTATTCATATTTTATCTATCAGCAGACTTATCGTTCCTAAAAATTTGCTGTCTTATGAAACAAATTTCCATTTAATCCATGATCTCGCAACTTTTTCACTTACAAATGAAGCTTTTTAATTATTTAAAAGAGTATTTGTTTACAATATCAATTAACCAGCAATTTTTTTGGAAAAAATGTGAAAAGCTTCAGTGTGTCTGCAAATTTTTGAGTATGTTTATTAAATAATCAATGTTCGTTCAAAACAGCAGTAAACATGAATACCTTTTAATTAGTTTATAATATATTGGATTTAGTGAAGTAAGTGCTAAATTGTTAGTAAAATTCAATTATGTTTAGCCTGGTTACATATATATATATATATATATATATATATATATATATATATATATATATATATATATATATATATATATATATATATATATATATATATATGTATATACATATATATATACATATATATATACATATATATATATATATATATATATATATATATATATATATATAAATATATATATATATATATATATATATATATATATATATATATATATATATATATATATATATATAATATATATATATATATATATATATATATATATATATATATATATATATATATATATATATATATATATATATATATATATATATATATATATATATATATATATATATATATATATATATATATAAATGAAGCATTATACACACTCAGATTATGTCAAAAAAAATAGGAAGTTGCAGGGGCTTTAGTACATACATTGACTATCTTATAGGAGTGCTTCTACATCAACTTATATTTGGCATGAGGCAGCAATCTTTTCTTATATTGTTCTTTTTTTTTTCTGTCTTTTTCTGAAAAATTAAAGCGCACATTTTTACATTAAGAACACAAAAATGATATTAGGAAATTATATCCCTACATATAGATTAAGTATAGCAAAAAATTTCAGTGTTCTATTTTGACTGGATGTGCTAGATGTAAATTTTGAGTTTTACAGTTTTAATGCAAAGCTGGCTCATTGTTAATAGAAAATACAAGTTTGTTACATTTTAGACAGTTAAAACAAAACAATTAGATGTGTATAAATCATTTCTAATTGTTTTTGAAAAATTTTTACTTAAAATTTTACTTCTATTTACTATACTATTAAGCTTGGTAATTTACATTTATAAATTTGAAAATACAAAAAAAAGAAAAACACATAAAACTAACATTTGTACGCAAACCATTTTTACTGTGGTTTGCTAATTTTTTTTAATTGTGGTTTGCTTTTTAAAATATCTCAAAAAATACAACTTTTTTAATAGTCTCCAAGCTCTTTTTTGGTCATACTCTTATTTGATTTTATCTAGACTTTT